AAGGTGGTGTGTACAAGACAGCCAGGGAAGTGGTGATGTGGTGAGCGTAGATGTGGACGGTGTGAACAAAGTAATTAGGTGACTCTGGTGTCGTGAGAATGTGAACTGTGACGTGTAAGCCCTCGTACAAGAAAACCTACAATCAAACCGGTTGTGTTGGGAGAAAGTAGTGTGTCAAATTATAAAATATGATATTATGCCCCGTTTATTACGATGGAATCAGAACGGGGCAGCAAATTACTTTTGAAAAAATGGTGATTTATTAGTCACAATTACAGCTCCGGCCATCTTTCAATTTGTAGTAACAATTATCATGATGTTTTGTATATACATGTACTTGCAGAATAAAATTACATATAAAGTTGCAGTGAGATGTATATATTTACATGCAAGGATAACAAAGCCTTATTTTTGATAACATTAGATAACTGCATTATTTAAAAATTTCGTAAACTTAACGACATAAAAGCCGTCCTGATTTGTATATTTCTGTTTGATGACGAACAAATTATTCCACGACGATTGAAATATTTCCATTCCAGTGGGTATGCAAGAATGAAATCATCAATAAAGACGTGTTCTAACCATAATAATCAACCGTTCTTAACCGTCCATTTGTAAATTCCTGTTGTTGAATTGCGACTGAAGCAAGCAGTCAAAGGCAACTGTCCATCGCAGTGTGCAAGTAAATTTGCTAGTATTAAATGATACACGTAGTGAACATTTTCTCGGCATTAATGGACAGATAACTCCAGTCATTCCCATAACAAAACGTTTGTCACTGACTCTGTGATATGCAGGTTCCCCCCTTGTTTTTTAAACATAACTTTGATCAAAAATGCAGAATCAACAGGAAACAAAATAAAATACGGGCATTTCTCGGTAGTTTTGTACAGTTTGCAACGCGTTGACCAATCACAGTGCGCAAAATCTGTCCACCCAATGCGCCTTTGGCAAAGGTCGACAGATTTTGCGTATTTTGGTTGGTCAACGCGTTGCAAACTGTTGGAGGCGCACTACTGTGAATCGCCCGTATTGGTATGGTCCCCGTATGGTCTCCAACCCCACAACCAAGTGCACTGTTGTATTTTAAGCTCAACGTTCAACCAACTAAGTTGACACCTTTGTTAATTCATAAGTCTTACTTTAAAAATGGCACAAACTGATCGCATCAGATATCCTTGTTTTTGCGTGGACATTACTATAATCACAAGGAGATCGTCCTTCTGTTGTGGCCAGGAGAAGAAACTAGAATTACAGGTAAGTCTAACCGAATCTGTCCTGTATATTTAACACTGGCCGGGCCTGGATGTTGGTCATTAAACAGCTTTTTCCTTGTCAAAATGTTAGCTTGGACGTAAAACAGGCGGTCGGTGTATCCCATATTGCGCAAACGAACGGTAAATTCCCGTAGTCTTGAACAACGTCGGTCGGCTCTCGCGCGGCGAATCGGTGTCGTCCTCGTCACGATGTTCACTTTCCGTTACCATCGTTACGAGAGCGCACCCGTTTGGAGCTGATAAACCTCTTGTAGATCGTGATGATGATGAAATCCACCCACTCCGCCAGAGTGATGAGACTCATGCCACACAGTAAGCCCATGTATCCACCTATATCACCTGCGGAAAAAAATATAAAAAGCCAAATAATTGCCTGTGACCAGTGGGGCCAAATAACTTGTTATCTGGTCTCATGTCACTGTGCGTACACTGTCTCGAGTAGCTGGTAAAAGTTTATTAAAGGACTCGCTTCAGCGCGGGCGCGGCAAGGATCACTGGAAAAGTTAAGGTAGGCCTATACGTCACCATTTTCGATGAATAATTGGATTATCAAGCTCTGTGGGACAGCGTAGTTAAAATACAGACTGATCTTCAGAATAAGGACTGACTTTTAGCTCCTTTTATTTGTTACGGGAAAAGCAGATCGCTTTTAGACTTGGAATTCTGTATAGTAGACAAGGAGATCCCTGTCAGAGATTTACCTGAAGGCTCTCCAAATCTACCTGTATTCTGAACCTTCACCCCCATCAGATTTGAGAGTCATATCCACAGTCTGTGTAGTACTCCCAGCTGTGTTCCAGGATTTCTTGTTTTAAAAATCAACCTCATTCCTTCCAAACGAACATGACCGTGTTCCCACCATGACATCCACCACATCGCAAAAGTAACCCATACTGCGGTCTGATCGCTCAAATTATGAGCTGACAGGACTGGGCTAATACCTTCGAAATGTTCCAGTGTGTAAGCCTCCTGCTGTTCAATTTCCATGAACATAATTTCCTCCATGAAAACGTAAACATCCAGATAGTTGTCCCTGTTACGGAATGAGAAATCAGGAAATTTTGTTGATACAGGGTGGATTTACGACGTTCCTGTTGAACAGTCACAGATCCATCCAACTCAGCCTAACGCAGCCTGACCCCCTTGGCCCCGAGCCCAAATAGGCCTTCCTCTTGCTATGTCCCAGCCCCAGTGTTAGCGATATGATATGGCGTACCATAACACCAGAGGTTGGTGAACGATACACGTGACTGCCTGTCATTACAAAAGCAAAAGGTTTTTTAAACAAAGTTTTGGGGGAAGCGGGTTAGCGTAGCGGTTCTTTCCCCGCTTTGCACCAATGAGGCTTGGGTTCGAGTCCCGGCTTGGCCCAGGCTTTAAGTGCATTTGGTTTCCAGTCCATACTCGCTCTCGCAGGTTTTCTCCGGGTACTCCGGTTTCCTCCTGCCTCTAAAACTGGACCCATAACTCCGTTATGTGATGCTGATTAAAAAAGTGTACAGTTAGTGGCGCAAATAGCCTGAGTTGCTGAAAGCGCGGGTAAAACAAAACAACTGTACAACAAATTTAAGTGTCCGAAAACTCTAACGGAGCTGTTTTAACACCTTTCACCGCGAGAATATGTGTTTGGTCTGTCTAGGACGTCGTTAATTAAAACCCGTTCATACACACACACTCATTTCCAACCATGAGTTGAATACAGCGAGAACATACCCAGATTTGCCGTTTTGCCATTCATTGTTTGTCTTGGTAATTCCCCCATGGGCCATTTCTGGTCATGGCCACACCAAAAATGCCCGCATGGAAAGCGAACAAAATTTTGCATCACGTTTTAAGGCTTGGGCAAGAAGGGCACTTTTTGTACCTCTTAATAAATAGTTTTTAATTACAATTCGTTTAAACTGGTTCGAAACATAACTACGCTCCTTTCTCATATTTTAAAGTTGTGGCGTCACTCTGTGTGGAAGTATTCAATATATCCTTGTTCAGGGGGTCATTGTGTCCTGTCTGGTTTATAAGACCAGATAGGCGTTGGGCTGTCGACCGCAAGGATTGGCTAAACTATAATGAATATAAACGAAATCCCCCTTAACACTAAGTTCGCATTTTGAGACCAAATCTGTTGGCAACCAGTAGTGATCTTCCTGCAAACTTAGGCTATCCGTGAGTTTTAAAGAAGAAAGGCCTGTCGCAGCCACGGTTACACAAATTAGCAATTATTTTGTGCAGCAATTTTACCTGAGGTATTGGTGAGACAAGTTGTACTTCTCTTGTAAATCCCTGTCGAAATGTTTAGCCGGCCATTGTGCTTGCGAGATCTTGCTTTCGTACGTCGTCGTCTCACAAGACATCGGACAGCTACACTTGTCACTGTCCCACGCAAACTCATCTGGATCAAAAACCACGCACATACACACACACACACAAACAATAGCCCAGTTGTTCGACCGAAGTATTCATTTTGTAAATACTAGGCAGCTGGCTACTTGTCAACATGACTTAAAATGACTGTATCGGGTCCGAAAGTTGTGGCTGTGGCTCGAGTTTCCGTGTGCGCCAATGGGAGCCTCTAGCTATGAGAGGAGCCACTTTGCTTGTTTTCCTTGGCAGTAGCCAGCTGATTTGAACCATTAATTCTATGCAAGCCATCGTCACTTTACCAGAAAAGGTTGACGGCAGGTGCCGATGATGCGTGGATAACATTGAAGTGGGGGCTCTGGTTTCACTTGTTAACCATGATTACAGTTTCTTGGAAACTGAGGTTCTCGGATTGAGATTAAAATTTCTTAATACAGTAGTCAAAGATTGGATTGGTATTTGGATTCTGGATGTGATCACTGAACCATAATGTTCTCCTCACCTTCGTAATGGTAAACACACGTCACTTGCTTTTCAACGGAACATATTGGGGCCTTGACTGTTAAGGGAAATAACACCACAAAAATTTGTAAGAGTAATCGGAATGACTTTTTTTTTTAAGTCGCTAGCTTAATAAGCCGGTTTATTAAGTTGTTCCAAAACGCAAGGTCATTCGAGAAAAAACCAAGGCTGCGCTAATGGTTGACTTTCCCGTTCCCACTGTTCCCGAATGACCTCTGACCCGATTCATTTCTAACATTCGATGTCAACGAACTGGCTCATTAAAATTTTCCTGAATGAGGCTGTTCGCCATTTCAACTATGCAAGGTCATTTGGGGACAAAGCACGCGCACGAGTCTATGAAGGGTTGCGCTGATTGGGCAGACCTCGCACGCGCGTCCGAATGACCTCGGACGCGCTTTAGTTTGGGTATGCACTGTTGGAATACCGAAAGGGCTCATTAAGAGCCTCTTCCTAATTAAAAACATTTCCAATGTGATGGATGTCACCTGGCCACCTGTAGTCACGACACCCACAATGCTCGACGACGAAGTGAACCAGACACTCGAAGTGACAGGCCGCCACCGAGTATTTAAACGGGAACTCCCGCAGATTCGACTCCGTGCAATTGGACTTAAATGGCGCCCTCAGGCTTCTCACCTATGCATTAAAAATAATCGTGAAAACAAAAACCAGCTGGGCCGATGAGTGCATTACGGAGCTGTAGAAGTGCCACCCGACTCGTAAAAATCCCGACGTTGTCGCGGGATGAGAACAGAAATAATTATAGGCTGCGGGATGTCTACATCGCAGGAAAATAAGTTATTGACATCGTGAAATCTGGCTGATGAAATCCCGAAAGTAAGTTATAAATTGTCTGCGAATGTTGACAGGCTACTCTAAGGATGTCGCTATCCAGTGATTAAGTATCTACAGATGCGGGAATCTTGCCTGTGTAATGTCGTCATCCTAAATAATATACGTATTGGTCCTAACGGAACTCCTTAATTAATTTGTTTTGGGTTAATTATTTTCTTGCTTGTTATACTCGGTGGCAATGGTTGAGACCTCGTCTGATTATGAACATCGTCCGTGTCGTCATGTTGTCAGCACTTGACGAAGGGGTGTGAAATGTCATTCTTCCACTCCACTTTGTGTGGGCCGTTGTTTATGGTCAATTATTCCGCAATCTGCAATTCGGTTGGACCCTGTCTAAGATTGCACCTACCCTCTGTTTGCGTACAGCTATCGAGGTGGCGAAACCCGGTGTCAGCGAAAACGCAAACTCCTTGACGATGGGGAACTCGCCCTGCGGATGCAGCAAGACCTGTACCGAAATGGATTCAATCGAAAGTTGAAGATCGGACCCTTGGAAGCCTTTGCCGAGAGGCCCTACTCGGGGTATAAGCCACGGAGGGGGTACACTTAAAAACAGAAGTAATAAATGAACTCTTCTTGTCCTAGCTTAAAATAACACCGTACAATTGACTGCAAAATTTCACATTTTGACTTTTTAAAGAATTGGAGCATTAAAAAGATGATTTTTTTTCGTGAAATAACAGGTGAAAATGAGAAATCAAATCATCCTATTCTCACCTTCTTCTAGGACATGAAAAAAGGTTATGAATTTACAGCAACATTTCACAGATTTGAATCGAGAACAAAATAATTTTGCACACCGATCGTCTCTAACCCAGTGTATTATTCATTTCAGATGCTGCCAAATTTTGTTTTTAATCCATCCACAACAAATTGATTTTTTTCTAAACCGAAGCACAAAAACAAACACAACAACATTCCATAAACAAACAATTTCTTTTTTTAATCAGATTTTTATTCAATAAAAGCTACATTTCTCTCTCTTGTCGATTCCTCCTATGAAATTTATCATCAATTTTCATGCGTATTTTTTCTAAATAATTCTGCAAGTTTATAATTTGTCCAAAACTAAACCATTAATCTTTGGTAAAAGTTTCCTACATAAAGCAATATGCATATCAGCTGAATAAAACACTCAAATCACAAACATTTTGAAACAGCCCTTTCATATTCCTCAATCAAGGAGAAATTCCTGTCGGCCAACAAAATGCTCCACAGAGGATTCCAACAGGCGACAAACTTGTCTATCCCTAGCAATTCTTCAGTGCGGTACGAACTAGGCACACCGGTAACTGTCTCTCTAGCAAATACCAAATTCTGTAAATTAATGCATTGCAAAACAGAGTTGAAGCAGAACTAGACTTAACTAGTAATGTTATTTTCTTCTGCTTTCCGTATTGTATTTTTGGTGCAGCCCGTCAACGTGAAAAGGACAAACGCTCAATGATGGTGAAACTGCAAGGTTTACGTACGAAAAATTTGGGGATCTTTGCTGAATTCTGCAAGAAGGTGAATGGGAATAAATAATATACTTGGCCGGTCTGAAACGTCATGAGAGACCCACCGGTTGTGATTGTAATTCATGACGTCAGATTTGCAACTGGATCATCGCCTCATCAGCGCCGAAGTAAACTGCAAATACAACCCTGCAAAAGGACACTAGGCCCATAAGCGAATGGGCTGCTGCTGATACAATGGTTGTGAAATTTCAAAATGTCACATGAGGGTACAGACTAGACGTCCACTGGGGGCACATGTCCCCCACCCCTCCGTCCTCCGTTTTGGCATCCCTGTGTTTCCCCTTTAAGCATCCCAACTGCTTTGGTTTTGCTTTGTTTTGCTTTCCCTCTGTTTATTCCTGCCCTCCTTTACCTTAATTCCAGCTGATGTGCTTTCTCCGTAGGTGTAGAGGTCCTGTTCAATGTTGAGTCTCATGAACAGTCCGTTACTGCTGCCCGGATTTTGGACCTGCAGGGCATCTCGCTCGTCTGCAGGGTCATTGAAGGTGTAACACACCCCGTGGTCGGTGAGGCGCCGGGTGAAGTTGGCTGCGGAACACTTCTCGTGCCGCCACCGACACCTGAACAGCATGTCCTCGATCTGGTGCGAGGCGTTGAAGATGGTCTCCAACGAGTCACTCCCGTTGGGGTAGTGGTACAGGGCGTCCACGGGGCCGAAGTCGAAGCCGGTACTATCTGACCGATCCTCCTGGTAGATGGCAGCCAGCGTCCCGATGACGGACTCATCCAGGGAACTGGCCCGGAGAAGGTTAATGTTGCAGACCGTGACAGCGGGGAAAGTGATTCTGGGCACGTAGTTGAGGGAGATGGCGCTGGTTTCTGGATGTCGGAGCAAGACCAAGATGGCTTTGAAAATGTTATACACTAGGAAAGTCGTCATTCCAAGCACAAGTATGAGCCACAACAACCTGAAAACAAGGAGGAAAAGACAAAATAGGAAGCAACTGAACAAGACAGCAAACTTAAAACAAAATCTGTAGCTCAAATCTCTTACCAACCTTCGACTGCGTGAGTAGGAATTGTTCATGACGTAGCGCAACCCGTGGAATGTCGTGGCATCTCCAAACCCCCTGAGTCTCTCACCAAATGGGGTGCCTTTTTTACCACCTGCCGGTGTTGCCGGGTCGGTCATCACCTTCTCCTCGTTGGTAGAGGGATGGAGAGAGCCGACGGTGGACCATCCACAACAAGTGGAATTGTTCAAGTGCGCGTCATCGGTTGATGAGTTCCGATACTTCATCAGGATAGGTGGTTTTGCGTTTCGGGCAGGGTAACCAGCATCCATTACCATCAGCACCGACAAAATTTCCAGATGTTTAAAACAGTAAGTAAACGATGTACCTCGTCAGTGTTGTTCGAGGCCTACGGCAGCGGCCCAGTCAACTTTCGATATCCTTTTAATGGAGGGGGGGGGTATAAACATAGGAGGTCATTTGATTACGTGGACATTATCTCCGTAGACGACATCAACGGCTCAGGAATGACAAAGCAAATTGGCAAGGCTTCATTTGCCGTCGCGCTTCCACCCATTGAGACCATGGACGATGATGCATGGCCAAACGACCTGTCGCTGACTGATACAAGATCTGCAGATCTTATATCATCTAGTGATAGATCGTTTGGCCACGCAGCTGCACGTTGTATCATGCTACCAGTACCTTTCCACCATGCTATTAATCGAACTATGCATGTTCAAACTAATTCAGGTATGACCACCATTACCCTGAAATAGAGACATACCAGCAACGAACCTTTGGCATTAGCTAACTCAACCGTATTCTTAAAAAAAAACAAGACAGAGGCCATTCAGTAATACACTGAGCGTATAGTAGAATATAAGGTCCCTAGTGGCACAGTGAAAGCTGTCTTACCGGCACGCTTCACGTTTGTTTTATTAATTAGAATGATGCCCCGCATCCTGCTATGTTAATGGTGGAGCGTTATTAAGCAAAATGGGAGGTAAAGGACGAGAACTGAGCCGCGAGCCCACAGAACAAACGTGACTTTTCCCGCCACTTGCAATTTATCTTCATAAGGAATAGAGCAACGTCATCGTTGTTATAGCGACGGACCGTTACACCAATTAGTGTGATAAAAACACGGCGTGTGTGTGGATATTGGGTCGTTTGCCTCGTAATCTGCGGTGTATTCGCGAAAGACTTTAAAACAAATGGAATTTCAGACGGTAATAGGTGGAAAGGTTTGCGGTAGCACCATGCGAAGGAATATGTCTCTTATGTGTATGTGTGGTTCTGAAAAGAACCGGAGTATATCTTATGAGTGTGTGTGGTTCTGAAAAGAACCGGAGTGTACTCAACGTTCGGACTGCGTGCATTCTTGTGTGCTTTTACCATTTATTTTCGGTATTCGTTGTGTTATACGGGAAATGTCACTCTATAAACTAAGTTTTGAAGCTTTGCATGGTGGATGAGACATGAGAAATGGGTTTGCGGGTACACCATGGAATCAATCTCTTTTGGACGAGGTGTGGTTCTTAAAAGAACCGGTGAGTATAAACTATATAAGCCCCAGAAAATGTAATAATATGCAGTACATATACATACGGCGAATTAGAAGGGCCACAACCAAAACATATTTTGGTATTACGCCTCGGCGAATAGTAACTCACTGTGACGAGATTTTTTGGTTGTCCGGGTACTCCTACGCCTCCATGGCTGGGTATTAAACAGCATGGAAGGACAAAAATTGAACAGGGTTGAGTGGAATAAAAGGTACGGTACTGGAAAAGACTCGTCGTTGCAAGGTCTGTCGTTCGATTCATAGGTACTGCGCCTTTTTAATTAAAATAGCATTTTCCTTTTAAATTTGCAATCTGACATGCACCAAAAAGGTGGAAATGTATAGTATCCGCCTTGTGCAGAAGGACCCCCTCATCGGTTGAAAAGATTCATGCTGGTCGGGAGTGTTCGTTTTGTTGGTAGCGGAGAGCACGCAATGCATGCGTCTCATAGGCGTTCGTGAACCAGCGAAGTGATGTTCCTATCAAAGTTCGCTTGACACCCCCGAACAGGGCGCTGGGAAGGGCTGATTCCCCTGCACAGATTTTAGCGAAGGAAGTACGTCACACAGGGTCACAGCCAACGACGCATAGCATGGTGGGTAAATTTCTGCCAGGTGCGCGAGCGCGCTCAATGCGTTAGACTAGCGGCGCTTATCAGTTCGACATTTTCTTCCTCAATGCTGAAAATATTCACACCACACTTTATTTACTCATCCAAAATGGATCAAGATAACCAATGATTTGAAATACAACACCAAAGACACGTGTGTTGAACCATGAAATGAATTCAATCCATTGTCCAGGTTGGCTACCGGTATATAGTTGCGTACATCTACATGGACATGTGCGTAAAAGCTTTACTCCATATGGCCCAAGCCGTAAACTGTTATGCAACTCTTCGGCTAGGTGCGTACGCAACCGTTATCGTTGACAGACATTGTGTATGCGTAGTCACACATGCACAGAGAGACACTAGGCACCATTGGCGGATCGCAGGGCGCACGCACTGTCCTCACAACCTTACAAAACTGAATGGAAATATGATAGATTTAAGTTATTAAATGCTATCGATATAACTGTACGGAGCCGGGGACATTTTAAACCACGAGCAAGCAAGTTTGGCGATCAGTTTATTTGGGAACCACAGTTCACCGTGATAAAGACCATATTTACAAACGTGAAATTACTCGTCGAAATCCCTCGGTCAGTGTGGGAAATGATTTCGTTTCACTTGGAATATCATCTGAGAAGTACTGATGGGTATAATTTCCAAACGATTATTCTGTTCTGTGAAGTTATACATGACTTGTCATCTTAATCAATCAATCAATCAATCAATCAATCAAATGCCTTTGAAAGATCGATGAAAACACCTGCGGAAAAGCGTTTGTTGGACATGGAATTTGAAATAAGGTCACTGTTGACTAAGGGGATGACTACTTGACAAGCTTTGCTTTTTAGTGATTCCTAACTACATATTTTTTGTTCACATTACCTGCTGAGTGTATTCCAATTTTCATGTGGAAATAAATTTAATACATGTAGTTGGAAGTTGAAGTGAGATGGATAAGAGCCGTGTCTGAGGAATAACGTGAGCGAAGACCGAATTGTTGATTGAAGAGAATATTAGAGGAAGTCAGGGATTTGGACATGCAATAATAAACTACCCGTTCAAGAAGTTTGGAGGAAGATTGTAGAATAGAAATAGGACGATATTTATGGAAGTCCTCAGAGTCGCCATTTTTGTGCACAGACGTAAGTTTGGCAACCGTCAGTTTTAAAGGGACACAGTCAGAAGAAAGAGATAAATTGAATATATGAGCAAGTGGTCCAGCAGTAAATGTAATGATCGATTTAACAACAGAGAAACGAATGTCATCAAAACTACAGCTGGTGTCACTTTGAGTGATTAACGGATGTCAATGATTCCAGCTGAAGTAGTTGGACTGAAAAAAGTACAGGAACTGCTATTAAAATCTTTAGTATAAATTAGAGAAGAGTTACAGTGAGGTAAAACTGAAAGTGAATACGGGGCGATTCACAATAGAGCGCCACCAAGAGTTTGCAACACACTGGCCAATCATAACGCACGAAATTTGTCGACATTTTCCAAACGCGCATTGGGTCAACAAATTTTGCGCATTGTGATTGGCCAGCGTGTTGCAAACTCTTGGTGGCGCACTATTGTGAAACGGCCGTATTGGCTAAATGCGAATCTTAAGAGACAAACACAAAGACAAATAGTAAAACATTATACGATACCATTAACATAAAAATATAAATAAAAGTAAAATGACGACAAATGATGAAATGAAAAGAAAATGGAAGGAGTGTTTAATAACAAAGAACAAGACGCATTGAAAAATGTGAGTGAAATGAAAGGAGTGTTTAATTTGAATGAAAATCTGTAATCCCCCTACTAGCGGTGCAAATTGAAATTTTCAGAGAGAACATCAACCCGCGTAACGTCTAAAAACGATTAGTTGTTCACAAAATACATAGGGCCCGGCGTTTCGATTCTAGAAGAAGCGTCCTCATTGTGCTTGACTTTGGAATAATACGGGCGTTTCACAAAAGTGCGCCTCCAAGAGTTTGCAACGCGTTGGCCAATCACACGATGTGCGAAATCTATTTCACGCGTTGTGATTGGCCAACGAGCTGAAATGTTTGGTGGCGAACTGATGTGAAATGCCCAGCTTTTGATCGGTCATTTTTATAAAGAATGTCCAATAATTATTATGCATTCTTAGTGTACACTTTACATTCTGAAAATGATAGACACTTCTCTGAATAGGTTGACGTCACAATGTGAGTGGTTTGATTGTGAAGAAACTGGCACTACAGATATGTGTAACCAATAGTGATTCATAATAGATCCCGCCCGATGATCACGTGGGTGCATGGGCGGTGCAGGGGAGGGGTGCCTAGTCTCATATTCAGATTTGGCAAAAGGTGTAGACTTGACCATTTTATTGTTATAACTCATGTATAAACAGTCGTGATTTGTTCACAATAAGGTTTCGATAATAAATGTCCCTCTTAGCTTCCGTGATCCTCATGGAGGCTTACTATGACATGCACCAAAAAGTTGGAAATGTATAGTATACGCCTTGAGAAGAAGCACCCCCTCATCGACTGGAAAGAGCCATGTTGGTCGAAAGTGTTCGTTTTGCTGGTAGCGACGCGACCATAACGCGTGCATTTCATAGTCGTTCGTGACCCTGCGAAGTGCAGTTCTGACCAAAGGAGCCTCCTTTGTCAGGAAAATTGCGCCCTCTCTTGGTCCGCCTCGGGGCTCGCAAGTATAAGAAATAATTACTGCTATGCTGCGAAATACACGAATGAAAGGATATTGTAATAGTTGTTATTTTACCACTTAATCACTGTTAACAATTTCCAGCAATATATCGCAATTGCCTGTTTGAAGGCGTCGTCTGGCGGTGGTGAGGTTGGCTCTTTCTCAACAACCATGGCCTGCAGACGAGTTTGTGAGCAGTTTTCCTGAACTCCCGAGCCATGAAGAAGTAAATGATGACGTCCCACCAACTGTTGCAGAGGCACACCCAACTCGTGACAAACTCGACCATCGGCGATGTTTCCTCTCTGGTGACGTAGTTCCGGAAAGAAACAATGACGTAAGGGGTCCAGGCAATCAGGAACGTGGCGGTGATGAGGGCACACATTTTTACTGCGCGGTGGTTGGCGATGGCTAGCTCAGGGTTCCTCCTCAACTTCGCGAGGAGCTGCGCGTGTCGGCGAGCAACCAGGTACAGTTTGGTGTAGCAGACGGTCAGGACTACCGCCGGGAGAAACAGTCCACAGCTGCTGTAGACGATCAGTCGAGGGAGGTTTGTCGGGGACGCTCGATCCCAGCTGATGGTGCACAAAACGACACGGTTCGTGTACGAAATGCGTTCACCGTTGGCAAGGGTCGCAACGGTTTCACTGACAGAGAGGAAGGTTGCAAGCACGACGGCCATGATCGCGCGTTTTGTGGGGATCATGATGCCGTGGTGAAGGGGGTACACCACGGCCAGCAGGCGGTCCACCGTGATGAGAATGGCAGCGTTCACGCAACAGAAGTTGGCAAGTATGAGGCAGACACAGGCTAGCTGACAGGCAAATTGCCCGTACGGCCAATAGTTCAGGGCAGACGGGGCGACGTACCAGACGGACACGGCACCATACGCCAGGTCGGACAGAATGACGTTGCAGAGAAACAGCTTGGAGCTCGGGGGGAACCGGGGCGTGTCGACAGATTTCATGACAGCCAGACTGAAGGCGTTGCCCGTGATGGCCATGAGAGAATTCAGCGCAATGAAAAACGTCCGGAGGACCGTCACGAGGGGGCCGTAAGCGGAGCCCTGCGAGTCGGATTTTGCTTCTTCCATCACCGGCGAAGGTGCACCGGTGGTGAAATCCGACATGTTCTGAATCATCCACTCCGCCATGTCGCGCCTAGTTCCCATGAGCCTAGGGGTCAGCCCCCGTGCGCGTCGAACCGAACACAGACCGGTGTTGCATGGAGTATATAGTACAGTCTGAGTCTAGTACTCAAGTTCCGGCAAGGCTTAGCTGAGCTAAACCCAACAGCGATGCTCCCCTTCGAGCTCGCCAAGCATATGACGGCTCCTCGCCAAAAGTCTCGAGCTCCCCAGCGTCGTATGAGGACATCACTCGGGTCTGTAACCACATATTAATTACTTACAAACGTATTTTGGATGCCAGGAAGGGGCTGATCGTTTATCACCATCAATCTGTGCCTTCGTGTTCGTGACCCGGCAATGCGGGATTGCCGGGTTATCTATTAACCAGCCCTCTCCTATGATCCGACCCGTCAAATCCCTTCACAAAATTCATTCATTCGTGTAGAATGCTAAATTGAATAGAAAAGATTTTAATCGCATCTATGCAAGGCTGCCGAGTGATTTAGTCCCGCGCAGTTTTAAATGACAGGAAAATGAAACATCCCATCAGTCACGAGGAGCTACAAGATACGACCGTGGGTTCGTTGAATCAATAAAGTCATTGTTAATACATCAGCCTATGCGTCTTCGTTAAGCTTAGCCAAGAATTTATTTCATAGCATTTCACTCTTCGTCGTGGGACTTCATTTGGGACTGTTGATCACGTACCCCGTGTGCCGTCGTTGTTTCTATGAAGACGTTTTCCACAATACCACCGCCGCTCTATCACCAAGGCCCACACACTCATTAGAACATTAACCTCCCAGGTGGACCCTTCATATCCGGCTGATGAAAAAAATCAACCTCGTAAAGACTCCCATCGGAATACAACACCTTGTTAGCTGTTTGCATGTACTTTCCGTGAGATGAGCGAAAGCGAACCGTAACCCAGCGGCACAGCACGGTTAATGATATTGTTATCCTTAACGACTGATGATCTGGTACGAAGCGTTGGCCCAGATACCGTAACCTAGGGGGGGTACGAAGCCGAAGTACCGCAGTTGTTGTGCACGAACCTTCTTGGACAAGCCAGATTTAATTTAAGTCTAAAAAGTAGGAACTAAAGAAGGGCACGACAGCGGGTCCTCAGCAGGAAAGATCAAGTCTTTCACTTGAGGAAGCCTTCAAGTGTAGGTCTGTACATGTCCGTCTGCTCAGCGTCAGTCAGATGCTGGTCGTCCCTGCTTAAGTAGAGGATTATTCCCTCTCTTGTCTGTCGGTGACAGTCGATTATCCTGACCAGAAGATGTCTTGCTCCGTGAGCTGTTGAGCATTAAAAAAAATTCGCTTGAAAAGTCAGCACGCACATAAAAACCGGCCATCGGTGTATCCCAAAACGCACACGAACTTATGTTGACACGGTGAATTGGCTGTGGTCTTTAACAACGTCGGTCTGGTCGCGCGCGGCGACTCGGTGTCGTCCTCGTAACGATGTTCAATTTCCGTTGCCAACCTTACGAGAACACATCCATTTGGAGCCGATAAACCTCTTGTAGATCGTGATGATGATGAAATCCACCCACTCCACTACAGTGATGAGACTCATGCCACACAGTAAGCCCATGTATCCACCTATATCACCTGCGAAAAACAGACCAAAACCAATTAGAAAGCCAAAATGATTTGCGAGTGATCAGTGGGGCCCAGTGACTTGCTAATCCCGTCTCTGTGTGCGTATGAGTCTGGGGCAGTCCTTAGTTCAGGTTGAGTTAGGACTTGCTTGCCTCAGTGTGGGCAAGGATCACTGGAGAAGCAAAGACACGTAGGTCCCTATACCTAATTGGATTTTTCGTGCTCTGAACAACAGCGTACGGACTGATTGTTAGAACAAGAACGGATTTTTCGCTCGATTCAGTTGCAACGCAGATTGCATTCAAATTTAGAATATTGTGTGGTAGACGAGAAGATCCCTCAAAGGTCAATGGTTTGCCAGAGGGCTCTCGAAATCTACCCGTATTCTGGACCTTCGCCCCCATCAGAGTTGAGAGTCATTTCCACGGTCTGTGTAATGTTCATAATGACACTTAGCTGCTTTCCAGGACATCTCGTTTTAAACTCAATGCCTGCTTTCCTTCCAAACAAATAAACGAACGAACAAACAAAAACAGACGGAAGCGAACAAGATGGCGAATAACCTGACCATTATTCCCATCATGACATCTATACCAGTATCGTAAAAGACAAGTTACCCGATTACGGTCCGATGGGTCAAATTACAAGCGAGTGGGACTGGGCCAGTACCTTCGAAATGTTCCAGTGTGTAAGCCTCCTGCTGCTCGATTTCCATGAACATGATTTCCTCCATGAAAATGTAAACATCCACATAGTTGTCCCTGGTGCAGATAAAAAATAGATTTTGTTGGGACAGGGCGAATTTACTTTCCCTCTTAGGAGTCGGAAGATTTTCATCTCTTGCGCAGAGGATAAATCACGCTGTAAAGTCTCGTTCCAAAGGTATATATATCCTTGTTCACGGGCCTCTTTGATGCTGGCAGGTGTTCAAGACCAGCCATGTGACTTGATGTAGACCAATAGGAATGGCTAATCTGTCTTGGATATTTATGAATATGAAACACCTTCCTTCAACAATAATAGGGCAAAACCTGTTGGCAACCAAGGTTGAGCCTTCAGCAAACTTAAACCGCCTATACAGTAAGAGAAAAAAGTCTGTAACACCCACGGTCCGTTTGTGAAATAATTTTACCTGAGGTATTGGTGAGACAAGTTGTACTTCTCTTGTAAATCTCTGTCGAAATATTTAGCCGGCCATTGTGCTTGGGAGATCTTGCTTTCGTACGTCGTCGTCTCACAAGACATCGGACAACTACAGTTGCCGCTGTCCCACACAAACTCATCTAGATCAACAAATCATGAGAGAAAAATAGCCCAACAGTTGGTCAACCAAACTATTTTGTGAATGCTTGACATGGTGTTGGCTGGGTGTACAATATGCCATAGGCCGTGTCCGAAACACTTGGCTACGGCCAGAATTTACACACGACTTAACGGAAACTGGCCGCGGCCACTGCCATAGACTCGTGCGTAATTTCCAGCCGTCGCCAATGATTCGGGCACGGCCTTAACAGACTTACAAGCACAATGACGTCACGTTTTGTTTACATTTGCTCTTTCCTAGGAGGTCCCAATGGTTCCGTGTCCCATACCTCACTGACTTAGGAAAACACACATGCAAACAAAGCCTGACGTCATTATGTTTAGACCTATTCGCACTTTGCCCTCTGGATAGTAAGATCTCGTTAGGTCCTAGAGTTATGGCTACGGCTCGAAATTAACACATGTGCCCATGGAATTGGGAAGTCACAAGCTAACGCATAAGCCACTCTCAATAATCAAGCATCGATCACACTTCTAGGTATTGCCATTTTTACCTGAAAAGGTCGACCGTAAGGTATAGATGACGTACAGAACAATATTACGAGTAGTCACCCTGATTTTACGTGCGCGTTAACTATGATCACAGCTTCCTAGAAATTTTGGTCTTGGGATTGCTACCTCTGAAATTTATCAACTGTAGTAAAAGAGAAATATTTTGAGCGCTGGTCTATTTAGATTCTGGATGATGTGGTCATCGAACCATATTCTCCTCACCTTCGTAATGGTAAACACACGTCACTTGCTTTTCGACGGAACATATTGGGGCCTTGACTGCTGGGGGAAATAATATAAGAAATATTTGTTAACAGTAATTGGAATGATTTTTAAAAAGTCGCGTAGCTTAATGAGCCAGTTGGCTATTTCCATTAGCCAAGGTCATTCGAGAATAAAGGCCGTTGTGAGTCGACACAAGGATGCAATGACAATAACAGCCGCCGTTTGAGCGTACTGTTCTCGAGTGACCTCTGTCTCGCTTCATTTCAGGTATGTGCTGTCGAAATGACCAACTGGTCCAGGAAGAATGTCCCCAGTTAGGAATGTCTTCCCAATTAAAACATTTCCAATGTGATGGAAATCACCTGGCCACCTGTAGTCACGACACCCACAGTGCTCCACGACGAAGTGAACCAGACACTCGAAGTGGCAGGCCGCCACCGAGTATTTAAACGGGAACTCCCGCAGAGTCGATTCGGTGCAATTGGACTTATAGGGCGCCCTTAGGCTTCTCACCTATGTATTAAAATAATCGAGAAAAAAAGCGGCATTGCCAATGAATTCATTAAGGAGCTCTAGAAGTGCCACCCGATTCGTAAAATTCCGGACATTACTGCGGGAGGATAGCGCGATACATGTCTTATTATGGGCAACTTGAGGATTTACACATCCTGCGGTGATTTTGCAGCAAGAAGACGTCCCGACAGTAAGATGTTGACATTACGCATACGTGTCGATAACAACATAAACGTAAAATATTATTCATCTGAGGATCTTGATATCCTGCAGGAAATCATCATCCAGATCCTCAAAATTATCTCAAAATGTCTGCATCTGGCCTGCGAAATTCCATTATCCCTTAACGAAATACGTTCGTAGTTCTAGTTGAGACTTTTTCTCCTTTTTGGCAAGATATGAAAATATTCCACGTTGTGTTTTTCGGACTAGAGATTGGATGATGATACCAAAACGATTTTTCTACTGAAAAGAAACAACAATAAGCCGTTGTTTAATGGTTCAATGTTCCACTATCCACAGTTCGGTTGAATCCGGTGTTAGATTGGACCTACCATGTGTTTGCGGACAGCTATGGATGTTTCGAAACCCGGTGTCAGCGAAAAAGCAAACTCCTTGACGATGGGGAACTCGCCCTGCGGATGCAGCAAGACCTGTACCGAAAGGGATTCAATCGATTAGACCCTTGGAAAACCTTCAAAGATACGAGGAGCGGGGAGGGAAACGAAGAAAAAAAACTTCCTGAAGACGCCCATCATTAGGGATGATGCACAATTGTAAGAGGTACTGCGAAAATTTTTCGAGAAATAAATATATTTTAGTCCCAACTAATCAAGTTTCGTCAGGTAGTCTTTTTAAGAGCTCGTTCATTCACTCGAGGGATGGGAACCACGGGTACCATAATGAAGTCACCGAACAGTTACCAGTGTGCCTGTAAAGGAAACCTAACCCAAAAATTCAAAGGCAAAATGTACAGAAAATGGGTGTAAATGGCGTTTGAAGACAATATTTTTTCCTATCATGAGGGTAATTCCCAAGGAAAGGGGGAGGGGATACGTCCATGCATAGACCGGGGGGGATGGGCCTAGCCGTTCTTCTTCCCTTGTCCTAAAAAATATTAAGAACGCTTAATTATTTTCGTAAAGTTAGTTACGGACACTTGACATCAACGGCATTTTATGACATTTGGAAGTATTCACCTGCAACACACCCCATCAAGGTAAATATAGGCGCTGAGAAAAGCAAGTGCAAATTTGCAACGTCTGAGCGAATGTTGGCGCTGCAACGATCGCCGTACCAGTTTGGTTGATTGTTAACCGCAAATGCTTTCAATTCATGACGTCGGTTTTGCGTTGGGTTTATCGCTGAAGACCGGCGGGAAATTGAACCGCGACAAAACCCTGCGAGAGGGGGACATCAGAAGCAAGAGAACTCCAGTTTACTGCAGTTTGTTCAGACATGTTGTGTAAATATCCAAATTTCATTTGGCGGCAGGGGGTTACGGACGTCTGCTGGGGGCAGGCCCCTGGCCCCCTTTTGGTTTGCCGCTAGAGTTGGGAGTCCTGTGTTTTCCCCTTTAAATTTCCCACTCGCTTGTGATTCACTTCGCTTTGCTTTCTTTGACTTTAAGTACCCGCCCTTACCTTAATTCCAGCTGATGTGCTTTCTCCGTAGGTGTAGAGGTCCTGTTCAATGTTGAGTCTCATGAACAGTCCGTTACTGCTGCCCGGATTTTGGACCTGCAGGGCATCTTGCTCGTCTGGAGGGTCATTGAAGGTGTAACACACCCCGTGGTCGGTGAGGCGCCGGGTGAAGTTGGCCGCGGAACACTTCTCGTGCCGCCACCGACACCTGAACAGCATGTCCTCGATCTGGTGCGAGGCGTTGAAGATGGTCTCCAACGAGTCACTCCCGTTGGGGTAGTGGTACAGGGCGTCCACGGGGCCGAAATCAAAGCCGGTGCTATCTGACCGATCCTCCAGGTAGATGGCAGCCAGCGTCGGAATGACGGATTCGTCCAGGGCACTGTTCCGGAGGAGGTTGATGTTGCAGACGGTGACAGCGGGGAAAGTGATCCTGGGCACGTAGTTGAGGGAGATGGCGCTGGTTTCTGGATGTCGGAGTAAGACCAAGATGGCCTGGATAGTGTTAACCACGAGCAAGGTCGTCATTCCAAGCACAACTAAGAACCACACCAGCCTGAAAACAAGACAGAGAAGTCGATGATTGAGCCAATCTGAGGGATGGGGGATGACTTGCTCCCCCCCCCACGAAAATTTGAAAAGGGGAAGGGTGACACCATATAACTCTACTTAGAGGTCGGTGTTCATGCAATATGCATCTGCAATATGTATTCAGAATGGCATATTTGTGGCTTTTTTCTCTCTCTCTTTTTGGGTGATATTGAATGCATTTTAGTCGTCAGAGGTCTGAAAAATTCTTAATAATCCACTTTAATTTTGCTCACCACAAAAATGTGTGTGTAGGGGGCGGGTGGTGGTGGTGACGGGGCTGATTCAATAGTTCCCCCCCCCTCCAAAAAAAGGGATGTAAACCCCTATCCTCCTCGATTTACATCCATGGACTGAAGGACAGGCAAACTCTTTGAAAGCCAAACAACATAAACACAAAATCTCAAAGCTTTTACCAACCTTCGATTACGAGAGAGGGAATTGTTCATGACGTAGTTCAACCCATGGAATGTCGAGGCATGCCCAAACCCTCCAAGTCTCTCTCCAACTGAGCCGTTCTTACCACCTGCCGGTGTTTTTGTGGCGGTCACTTTCCCTTCGTTAATCGTTGTAGGCAGAGAGTACACTGAACCGATGGTGGGCCATCCGGAAAGAGTGGAATTGTTCAAGTGTGCCTCGTCAGCTGATCTGTTCCGGTACATCATCGGGATGGGTGTGTTTGCGTTTCGACACCGACAAACTTCACAGATGGTTTTTGGGAGTGGAGTTCAGATGCAGGTGAAAACTCGTTCACTCGGACACCATCTCCGTGGATGTTTAACTTGGCCTGTGCATGTGAGATCCGACCGCTCAAGAAAAACGAAAAACCTTGCGTAACTTCGCGAATGGTGCCCTCCACGCTTCTCTCTTAATACCATAGGCGACGATGCATAATTAGATCGCATATCATTTAGCGCGAGGTCGTTTGGCCGTGCAGGAAGCCTGTCGGTGTCACAAGGCGGCCGCCAGATGATTTTCTTGCACTACCATCAGGCCGAAACACACCATAATCTAGTTCATTATCTCAACTGTAGAGCCCAGAAGTTCTGTGATCTTCCGATGCCTTAACTTCAGTTGCCCCAAGTTTAAGAGGTAGCTCCCAGATAATGTCCTGCAGCCGACAGAAAAGCCATGCCCACTGATATTCACTCGCGTGCATTTTTTTCTCAAAAATTCGTGTTCTATCCCTTGGCACTGACTACTTTGTTTCGTCACAAGGCCTCGTATTACTGACACTGACAGCTTATGTTCACCTTTGCGAAAAAGTGTGTTCAAAGCAATTCGAGCCATGCATGACTATCATCGCTCTGTAAATATACTAGAAATACATCAGCGAGGGATGTACGGTTCGTGGACATTACTCTCAGTGACATATATACGGTTGAAAATAAACAATAAATTTTTCAGATGCGCTTCACTGATCGTGCTCTCTACGTTGCTAGTGAAGCGGCATTAAATAAGACGTGAGCTAGGTTAAGGTCAACAGCTGAGCAACGGGACAAAAAAAAACCCCAAACCGTGAGTTATCTAATTGGGAATGGAATGACGTCATCGTCGTTATAACAACGAACCACAACAATCAATTAGTGTGATTAAAACGTGGCATGCGTGTTGTATTGTTTGTTAACTCGTTGCCATATGGACTGTTCTCGAAAAGGCCTTTTGAAATAGATTTCTTTCATGAAATTTAGGAGATACATTCTTGTGTCCAATTAGCCCTGATTTTCGGTCTTCGTCGGTTTTGCCTTGGAGGAAGGAAATTACCCCGACTGGAGGGGGGAAATGCTGCTCTATGAAGCCAGACAGAAATGCGCAAGACGTACAGTAACAGCGTTTGCAGAAAACAAACAGTGGAACAGACTTGAGTGGACTATATACATGTAAAAGCATTGGAAATGACTGATCATTAGTCTGTCGTTCCTAGATACACCTTTAAATTTGTGGCATTTCATTTTAATAGCAGTTTTGTGCTCTTATCTGACCGTCAAAATTGTTTTCATAGGTGAACTGTCACTTGTGCCAGACAAAAGCATTACTACTAGAAGTGCTCCGTGGACTCGGCCAAGCGATTCCGCAGGGTATGGCTCGCAAGATCGCCTCCGGGTTTTTCCCCCGGGAAAGGAACAAGCATCGTAATTGGGGTGAAACTATACATTTACTTTCGGTTTCCCCCTTACTGTCACGGCAGCTTTTATACAGTTTCTTCATTCATTTAATTAAAATGCATAAAATACAAAGATCCTATTTAAATGCAGTGGGCGTTGAATTTTTTTTACAATTTTGTACCGATGGCGGTCCATATTCAAATAATATTATAAACCATCATCAAGGAAAAACGGCGTCGCTCAAGTTTCATTCACGTGGTAGTTAGTTTTCTCGACTCCGTGTCTCATTTTTATTTTCAATTATCAGTTCGGGCATGCCAGGTGGGTTGGTTGTCCTTGAACTAGACTGTGTGGACTTTGAATGCCGGGCTCAGAGCCTTCATCACGTGCTTTCATGCTAAAAGACATAAATAGAATCTGCAACTAAAAATAAATATTCCGTCATTCCTTTTTGAGGACTCTTGAGGGCGCTACAACTGTGTGCTGTTTTGTTTTACATGATTCACAAACTCATGACGTGAAAGAAGGACAATCCCTTGAACTTGCACAGTATCAAACAGTAGTTACTTGTGGTGATTGTCAGTGTCTGGTCTGCTCCGTGTTTGACATATTTGAAGGAACAGAATGTTCAGAAAAAAGGCAAACGAAAAAGGTAAGGTTGTCTTTTCAAGATTAAGTTGAACCATGATCATGACTAGACCCGTAAACAGGGCCCAGGGCCCGCCGACGAATACTCCTCTGTCGTAGACTGGGCCTAGTCCCGATTCATAGGGTTTTCTTTCGAAAAATTTTCTGAATTGAACTTTTCTGGACATGTTTAGGCTTTCTAATTGATCACTGTAGGGAATAATTACTGCCGTCGTTTATGCAACTCTTCCCCGAACTATAACTTGGGGTAGCTTCAGCCCTGGGCAGTGACAGTTGATTATAGCACCAGCCCCAGCGTTTAGCATATTTGTTGGCAGCGTCAAAGTTTATGCCAAAGCAATATTTCAGATGCCAGGTATGGAGTTGGTCATGTTGGGAAAGCAAAACTAGGCATAGTTTTAGGCTGTAAGCTTTTTTATTCAATAATGAATTACCAACCTCTAGTTTGTGTTAGCAGGTATGGGAAAAACTTCCATACTCACTGGCCTCTTTCCCAGGAGCATGTATACATATTGTATTTGTTCATAATGTATGAACACTTAAACTCTACTTGTAAATCATTTGAAATAAGGATTGGAAAACCCAGCTCTGTGGCTCATGGCAGCCGGTTTTTCAATGGAACTCACACCCTCTGTCATTTCAGAGGTCATGAGGAAAGTGGACAGAGATCTGAAGGGCACGCAACGGGGCTTGGAGCGCGACAGAGCTAAACTGGAGAGAGAAGAACAAAAACTAGTGAGTCAGGCAGTCTAGACGACTGCTTACTGCTTGATTTGTACCAGGCTAGACCCAGTCACTGTACTCCTCTTGGGTTTCACGCTGATTGGTCCAATACCTGTAGCACCCCAACGAACAGGCGAGTTTCAGCCTGACTTTTGCTATAACCACACACTGAGCTCCAACAAAAGTGCCAAAATGACGGCCAAGACTTTGCAAAAACAGCCAGCGAACGGCCTACTGGCTTTTCAGTGCATCAGAGGCAAACTGCAGTGACTTCATTGCTACTTGTGATCATTAATTGGGAAGTAATAAAATTCTACTAATTCTGTTCGTGTCACCTACATGTACGGTGCCAATCATATGTTTGGGGAGTGTATAAAAACTCTTGCCGTTTATTTGGTCTAGTGCATGTACAAGGCCTAGTCCGAAATGTTGGAACACTCAATGCAGCTCCTTCTTTTTGTCAGCTTTACATTTTCACATCTTTACTCCTTGAATTTATTTTGTTGTCATAATTTTCTACATGTATTTTGGTCATTTTCCATACATGGCATTATGGAAATAAATATTGAATTGAATTGGAGTCAACCCTTTTTACAAGACAAAGTGCCCAAACATTAGGCAGTGGCAATGGGCGATACTGGGAAATAGACTGGCACCAGTCCAATACTCGTTACCACTGCCTTAGCAGTGTCAAAAGGAACAACTGGTACCCAGTCTCTATTGATGCACGTTTGCTCCACAGTTATGTCAACCAGCTACTGAATGGGTAAACAATCACCAGTCAACTCTTATGATTTAATCAGGTGTTAGGACTTGAATTGAGTTTAAAAGAAGAAAAGTGAATTAGAATTTGAAACTGTATAAAATCCTTATTTTCCTACGCTTTCTGAATTTGGCTCAAAGGCTCATTCGATTTTCCCATGTTTTAATTTTAATCTTAATCATTTTATTTCTGCTCAGACACTGGAAATAAAAAAGGCTGCCAAGCAAGGAAACAAACAGGTGAGTTCAACGGTCATTCTTGTGCCTCCAGTTTCATCGTTATAGCCTTGTCATCTCAGCCGGGGCCTTACAAGAATTTCCCTGTCATGGACGACTTATATGCTCTGGGGGGGAGCTAACAAGCCGATACCAGATTTAGACCTTTAGACCATCATCAATCTTGTTCAGTGGAAGTTGGGAAGATCAACCGGAAGAAATGACTTCTGAACTGGGAGCTTGTACCAGATCAGGTGGAATAAGTCAGTGACATTTGTTTGGCTTTGTGTCAGGAATGCTAATTTCTTTATTCCATTTTTTTGCTTTTTACTACTGTGTATATACACACTGTAAAAACGTTAATGTACCCGACGCATAGATAAAAGTGATATATTTGACTACTTGTGACACTTGCTGCTGCACTGGATTCCAGCCAGCCGCCTGTTCCCGGCATACTCGATAGTTGAGGGGTTAAGATGTTGGCACTAGTTAGCAGGAAGTCGTGGGTTCTTACCCCGCATGAGCCAGCTTGTGATTTTGTTCGCAACACTCGGACCACACTGAGAATACAAATTTATGCATGTAACTGTAAAGGGCAAATATCGTAGGTTTGGTGAATTTTCTAGGTTTGAAGAACTTACAACCCAGTCACAATTCCTGTTTTCTCAGTCTTAAAAGAGTCTTATGTGCCATCGGCTTCCTACATAAATTGCGCCAAAGAAGGGACATGTTTGTAATGCCCTTTGTCACTCTTTTCCCAGGCTGCAACGGTGTTGGCCAAGCAGCTAGTCAACCTCAGGAAGCAGAAGACGCGGATGTACGGAGCCAGCGCCAGGGTGTCTTCAATCAATGCACAGGCAAAGGTGCGTACCGGCTGAGGTGACATTATTGGTCACAGTCAGCGGAGTTGTGCCATCCGTCGATGGTGTAGTCATTAGTCAATCACGGTGCCCCTCCTTGATCACATCTTTCTGTCCTTTCTTTTCATGAAAAGTAAAGTTTGGACCCAACTCCATGAACAGCTGACACACGTCTCTGGCTTGGATAAGACTTTGTTGCATGAAACTAAGATCTTCCCATCCTGTGCAAATGATCAGTTGGGGAATCCGCCCTGAGCTGAAGTGCGCCCTGAATTGGCGAAAGAAAAACAGGTCATTACAAGCATGTTCTTGTACGCGTTCTGCTTGTATGCATAGACCATACATGCCGGAATGAATTAGTTACGCGTACTCAGCGTGCTCCGCGTCAAACGCACGCTTATACTTGCGCCACTCATGGTGCACCTATGCAGTGAGTACCCCCAAAACACGCCCCCTTTTGTTCCGCTCGGAGCAGATTGCATTTCAGTTCTGTCAACCAGTATGAGTGGGTTTTGGTAAGTCGTCAGCAAGTTTAAAGTCAGATGAACTGGAGTTAGGTTCAGTGGTGTGTAGTTATAAGAATCTCTTGGCAAATCAATCACAATTTAACCATCGCCCATATCGCAAGTCCAGCCTCGAGATACTCATCAGAAGTGTTCAAACTAAATGCAAACGCACCTGTCCCCTGGTTGGACGGAAGAGAGGGGGGGAAGACTCATGCCTTCAGGGAGACTTGGAATGAGTTAAGCAGACTTTCTGTCATCCCCTGAAGCTTCTGGTCCTCGCTATCGCTACTGTCAGACTGTACTGCAAGTGTGTGATGCCCGCACCAACGGAATAAGTACATGTAGGTGCGGTCTGTTGATCAACTATTAAACTCTGTCACTTGGTTTTTGAGTTGAATGTTCTGGGAACATCTGGCCGGCAATCATCTCTGGACACAAGTCAATTTACTCGAGAATCGAGGGTTGATAAGTACCATAAGAGCACGATTAGGACATATTTGTTGGATATTACACCCGCTTCCGAAAGGCAGTGATTTCATTTTTTTTGGTCATACATGTATTTTCCTTTTTCTTTCTCTGTTCTGGCTTTCCAGACAATGCAGTCAAATAAATCCATGGCAAGTGCGATGGCAAACACATCAAAGGTGAGTGTAAAAAATATTACTGAAATGAAATAATCAAATCAAATAAATCAAACGCAAACCAAAGATTTCTGGAGACAAACAGGTGATTGCCTGATCTCAAGCCCCACCACGTTTTTTGGCCAGTCACAGCCGAAACTCTTGACACAAGTTGGAACATGCACTAACCTTACATACGTGGAGTGGACTTGTGAACAAATGATGTCCACACGATGCAGGAAGGGAAGACGTTCCCTGGACTTACCCATGTCCGCAGGATGTGTCTCCTTTTTTTTTAAAAAACAGTATAGAGGCATTGTGGGGTTAGGGTCATCTGTCGTAAAAGGAAGAGGAACAGTCAAGGAAACCTTTTACAAAAATCCAGCTGAATATCGTGTTCCCAGTTCAAGAAAAGTTCGCATTTCACCAAGTTTTTCTTAACTGTGTGAAAACAAAGGAATGTCCACACTAGGTGTGTGATGTAAGTGCATGGGTGCGCCTGTGTGTAACAAGAGCGCTGGGGACGTTCATTGGGACATTGGAGAGATAGCACGTTTTTTCCCACTCATACGCAACCTAGCGAGGCATGATGCATCACTCTCCATATTGTAGGGGTGCGTACGGCTTGGTGGTTGAGGTTTGTGACTCCTGACAAGGGGGGCGGGGGTTCGAATCCAGTTGCTGGCTGGATATTTTGGCCTCGGGCAAGCCACGTAGCCCTTACTTATCACTCTCCACCCAGGAGCATCAGTGGGCATCATATTAGAACAAGGAGCAAAA